AAGAGAGGGTCCATATCTTGCGTGCTCCCAAAGAAAGCCTTCAGAATAAATCTCGTATATACTGTCAATATATATATATATATATATATATATACGACATTTATTTTCCCGCTTATTTGCTAAGTATAATTATTCCGAAAGAATTCTTAAATCAATTATTAAAACAAAATTAAAATAAGAATTGAATGTAAAAAATGTAAAATATAGTCAGATAGAATTTAAAAATCTCAAATTGTGATCTAAAATACTTGCAACAAATAGATAAAGTCTCTGAAAACTGCACATTTGTCTGAGACTTGTGTATTGCGATACAAAAATAGAATGCGAGTTTCGAGTTCCATGTCACGGGGTTAAAAACGCGCTCTTAAAAGTCCACCTTCGCGAGGAGACCACGGAACGGCGACGCCTTTAATAAACGAGCTAAGACAATGGGGTCCGGGCCGCGTAAGAGCAAAATAAATTGAAGGTATCTCCAGCGCCGCCTCGCTTCCGCTCGGCGCGTCGGGTTCCCCGGCTGACTGTTCCGTAATTAGTGAGCGTCTAAACAATACTCGAGCCATCCCGGAGACCACCCACCCCTCTCGCGCGCACCACCCTTTCTCCACGCTTCTCCTAGCGCGAACCGGAATCGCCGATAATTAATTATCCACTCGCAGGGCGTGCGACCGTTGGGATTATTTCGCGGCTCTCTTCTTTACTCCCTCTCCTCGTTCTCCTCTTCCTTCCGTTCCTAATTTCAACCGTTTACGGGCTAGATCGTCTCTATCATTCGCTATTCGTATCTTGGCGAGATAATGGCTCGTCGCTAGCAATTCCGGAGAAAACGCAGTGGATAAGGACGAATATATATAGCGGTGATTAAAAAGCCACCGTATACAATTTCAGACGCAAAATTAGCATCCATAACATTACTTAATCTCGTACTCGAATTTAGCTCTCGTTGAATCATGATATTTTTGCCACAAATAATAAAAAATGGCAATGTAATCATTAAAAATCGATTTCTTCTTTCCAATAAAAATTATAATTCAGATCTAGAAAACTCACTATTTCTTAATATTATTTTGATATAAGAGTTTATAAAAATTCCTATATATTTTCGTAATTGTGTCCGTCAGAAGAATGTCAAATATTTCCTTATTTTCATAAAATATTTAATATCGCTTCCATATTTATTATATCAAAAAAGTATTTTAAAAAAATATTTATGAGAAAATTTTTAAACTGAAACCGACAAAACATGTTAACTCTTACGCATTTTCAGCATCCTTAGCCGGTCCGGAGTGCTCATTTCAGAATTTCGCTACTGTGAATGTGATTAAACGTCGAGCGATTAAACGCACGAGGTTGTTGCGCCGCACGTCGGACGGAAGCGACCGCGCTCGTTAGCATACTTTGAAAGTCTTTAATTGCAGCCAGAAACTCGCCGGAAGCTCGCGGCTTGCAAACAATATTTGCCTGATAAATAAATAGCGACAAATATGCGACGAGATCCTGCACGATAAATATTATTACTAAGTTCTCCAAGTTTAATTTTTCGCAGAAGGAAAATTATTTCTCTCGAGTTATTTAGGTGATTCTTTTGACGAAAGTAAACTTTTTTTTACCTCTTTCTCATTCTCTAGCAAAATATTTTTACAAATCTTCCAGCGTTTCTTCTCTCTCCACTTTACTGATTTACGTTTTCAAATGCAGGCACTTCAAGTTTTAAATGAATACAGTATAAACACAAAAAAAAGCAAATATGTGTGTAATTATAGGAAGAGAATATCTCGTCATATTTTTACTTCCTATTTTATGATATTTTAATACATATAGATATATAATTTCAATATAACGGCATTTTTTAAATATTTTGTCGCCAAGAATACTTCGAATATTAATTCACATTTAATTAAAAATTGCGAGAATGTGTCATTTTATATAATCAAAATTAATTTACAATTAAATAGTATAGTCTTACAGCTATTAAATCAAAATGTTTCAAAGCAAGATATCTAAATGTAAATTGAAAAGTGATTTGGTCACGATGTCACGCTACTTCGTCGCGACAGTGATTAAAAAAGTTCGTTTACACAGTTAAAAATTGCAAAAATGTTTTATCCCGGCAATTTCCGGGCTTGAGTCAGCAGACAGACCGGACACTCGATAGAAAACCGCAGAGTCGATTCCTTTTGCCACGAGCTACGAAGTTACTGTTGGCAGACCAAAGGCCGCTCCCATCGGTTTCCTTTCGTCGATCTCTCGAAAGGTTCGATAACTTCTTCGAAAGCTCGAAGGTACACCCCCGCGGCTGCAGCCTTGCAGATTCCAAACGCATACCGCGGAACCTCTTCTTCCCCCCTCCCTTCCCCCCCGTGCTCTCTTCTATCGTAAGGTTCTTCCTGACGTCTCAAAGCTTAACGAAATGGAAACAATATTGACTCGCGAGTCTAACTGGAAAGCTTGTATCGAAGCGATATTGCAGTTCTCCGATGCGAGCAATCCTCCCCCTTCCCTCCACTCCTTCCTCCTACCTCGTCCAATTCCTCTTCCCTCGTCCTACTTCCCTTTTTAACTTACGGTAACTTTACCCGTCCGTAACGGGTTACCTTAACTTTTAGTTAACTTGTAATTTGGTTAGTCGGTAAAAAAGTAAATTACAACTTAATAATTTGTAAGTTTTAGATTAATATATTTTCCGCGAACGACGTTTTCAAATTGATCAATTGAACAAGCTAGTTGTTATGTATAAATTAAACGAATTAATGTGTCCAGTTAAATGAAACAAACGCGTGCATAAAGTTAAACTTAACAAAATTTATGATTGCACTAAGAAATATGTTTAACTCATTTTTCATTCAAGCTCGTGCAAGCTAAAATATGTATCCATTATACTCGCTTTAAACGCAATTCGCGAAAAAATGTAATAAAAAGCATTCGAAGAGTCAATATATACAATATAAATCATTGATATATGAGTCGTTTAAAAGCCAAACTCCATCAATTTATTTTATTTATGAAAAGTTGAGCACTTATAATGTGTTTTGATACTAAAATTGGAAAAATTGCAAAAAATAGAGTTAATCACTTTAGTTTTTGAGCTGCTCATACATTTTGTACATGTACTAATTTCTCAATTATGTTTTCTATGTTACACGGTACATAAATTTATAAATAGAATTCTCGTCGAATCTCGAACTCTGTCGCTAATTAGAGATCGCTTAAAGCGGGCTTTATAGAATAATTCATGATCATGCAAGCTGCTAGGTTCATTGAAATCAAAGGACGACGCTTCGAGATTGTTTCCCAGAAGGTTTCCATGAAAGGATATTATGTATCGAGCGAGAGTATGAAGTGGGAGCTTGGCAAGCCACGGTTGCGGAAATTCACGGTGGAACGGTTAACGATAAGTGCCTCGTTGTGTTACGACGTCGGGGGCGCAATCGGCGCGTTCTATGTTCGCGTTAATCTGGAATTATTTAATCGATGCTCTTCGTCGGCACTGGTAAATATTAATTATTATCGTTATTATGGAAGCGAAAAGAGGGAGAAAGGAAGAGCAGACGAGCGAGAGAGAAGGAGAATACATTCTGCCCATAAGAGACGTTTATCGAACGCGAAGATTGCGGCACCAGATGCACCGCTTCCACCGAAATATCATGCAATCTCTTTCATTTTATGGCCGATTATCGCGGCTAATAGCTCGCAAATACCGTCATTTGCGCTGAGAAATATCAATATGCAATGTTACTTAAATGCGCTGTAATTTTGTATCGCGCGAGGAAATGGCTTGATGAATACATCAAGCATATTGCGATTAATATTAATTAAAAGCATATGATATTAATTCTAATTGGCGATTTATTACAGCCGGATAAAGCGAAAAAATTGTAAAATTTCACATTTCAAAGTAAATTTTTTTTCTGAATAGATTTTTATCGACAATTTCTATAATTGTGTATCTAATTGCAAGCATTTTAAATATTTTTGTATCTCTAAATCTTATATATTTTATATTTAAATAATCTACACTTATCGATTTATTTAAAAAAAAATGTTTTGTTAGGATTGAGCGCTGCTGCATCTGTTTTAACCTACGCAAGAGAAACGAAAATCTTTAATGGCACAATGCACGAACAAGAACTTTTTAGGCATTGTTACTGAAACTATTAGTTGGAGATTCAGTTTCTTCGAGGTTGGAATATTATTGTGAATGCTATTGTGAGTTCCTGCGACTGCGGAGGTGCGGCAGAATATTATCATTCCGCAGTTTTCCGAATTGCACGCCCGCACGAAAGAGCAAATAATTTCCGCTTCTTCTAGTTTGTCCTTATTTTTCCATCCGCGCTCTCGCGGATTGTTCTCGCTCGCGAAAGTACGAAAATAAATGACATTACGACAAAACTAGACATCCGGTCGCCTACTTTATGTACGCGGTATTTTCGTTAGAATACAATAACGAATCTTATATTAAAATCTTTCTTTCAAAGAATTAAGAAATAAAGCAAGTTTAATTATTAGATGAGAATTTTGAATTTTTTATCAAAAATAATAATAGAAAATTTTTATATATTTTCTTACTAAAACATAAAATTTTGTATGTTATACTTTTATCTCAGAGAGATACTGCTACTTATATATGATGTAACGCGTCTAAGCAAATTAAATGTGACATCGTATAGTAAATAAGTTATACAATTTTATCAACATTATTTTAGATCAATCATTTTACAAAGTTGTTGTCTGACGATTCAAGAGATGCAAGTTTCAAAGTAATCTTTCATCGCTTTATAAAAACTTGGCAATATGTAATTATATTTTTTACACAATTACTTTTTGTTACTTGTTTATTTTTATTGTAAATCTTTATATTTTCCTATTATTTTTGGTACTATTAGTAATTTTTATTTCTATCACTTTTTTATTCACCTGTTTCGTAAGTAAAACGCATTAACGCTTACCTAACAAGCCACATAACATGTGCGAACAATGAATATAACAAGATATATTTCACTTACCTCTATCCGAAAGGTCCATCCCTCCAGACTGAGCAGTTTGAGGGTTGTATTCCTGGCCAGAGCGTGGCATAATAGTCTCGAGGGATGATCGTCCAGGGCCAACCGAGGGCTGGATAGATCCAGCAGCTGGAGACAAGGCGCTTCCGTCAGAGCTAGCACCAGCGGCATCACGTCGGCTGGCCTCGACGCTCCGGCGGCCCTTAGAGCGTCCAAATTACGAGCTCTTCTGATGGTCTCGCCTAAACAGCCGGCATCTAGGCCGCCCAGGAGACACTTAGACACATTGAGAGATCTCAGCTTGCAATTTGGTTCTCTGAAACACAAAGCGGATTACTATCGATTAATCAGACTGTATCGCGAAAAAAAAATGGGAAATGTATGAGAAAAGCTCTTTGTACAACATTCTTTACTAAAGATGTAGACAATAGATACAAAATAAAGAAAGTTTAACAATTTTTAAAGGTTTAAAATATATGTATACTTTATAAAAAATGTTATCTACTTATATTTATTAAAATTATTTTTACTATGAACATTTTCCTTGCAAATTTTGTATTTCTTTTATATTTCATTATCAAAAAATTTTCAAACATAGAAAATTTCCACAAATAAACTCATTAAATAATACTTTCTTTCATTTTAATGTAACAATTTTTCACTTAATTTTATCGCTAATCAAATCGCGATAGCAAGGTATGATTTGCCAAATCTCATAATAAGCAGTCTGACTTTGACTCTGATAAGAAAAATGAGAACTCATCGAATCGGATGAAGGAGGAGGAAGATTTAATCGAATCAGCTGATGAGGCAGTAATCATTTAAGATTGATGGTAGTCCGTACGCGGACAAGACTTGGCCGTTAAGTAAAGAGAAAAAGAGAAATGTAAAAGTGCCTAACGGCAATCTCTGTCTCGCTTCTCATCATCGTCCATCAATCTTATAACAGAGGAAATGGCCATTCACGACGATAAAACGAAACTTACGAATATATCGAATCACGAAAAAGTTTAGTGTCTGCTTTTTGCAGGTGAAACTTCCGTGACAATTTGGAACAGATTTTATCTCGATATTGATCTGTCTTAAATAGCTGACTCGAGAAAACATGCGGTGGGATCTTATGCAGAAATTGAAAAATCCTAGTTTTCAAAATCAAATATCTTATCAAATTGAAATTAATGGTTTCATTCACATTAAAAGCGAATTAAAGTTTTATAACTGATTTAACTTCGTATCTTGGTTTCGGACTATTTAACTCTGAGTTACAGTAATTAGTTTCTCGATTAAATTCCTTATTAAATTTCGACCTTAATAAACACCGCATAAACAAACAGAATATTCATTATACAACGCATAGTACATTACATTAATGTTCACAATCAGTTTTTGTAATTATCATCAAAGATGGTTTAAAATATTAACATTTTATTTATTTATTATCTTACTTATTTTAAAAAATGCTCGAGAAAATTGATTTTTCAAAATCGCAAATTTTATATGTAATTATACCTGTTATAATATAATCCCCCACTCCATAATATAAAATTTATTAAATTTATTTAAGTTTTATTTATTTATTTTTACTTTATCTTTCTTAATTTTTATCCACAAGATCAATTTGACGAAATATTTCGCGTGTAATCATGCGTTCTTCTCAAACAGTCCCGTGCAATCTCGAGGCGTGAGATCGATCAACGTCACGGCAATGAAACACATAATGAACAAACATGCGGCGGCGGGGTAACACACGTCACGTGTAAGACAGCGGCGAGCCGAATTACAGGGGCGAATAATCGAATCGCGGCGGCAGCCGACACTCTGCCGTGGATTTACGTGCGCGTACGTGCGTTTAATGGCAGCAATTTAAGACGGACGATTCGGAGTCCGGCCAGCAGCAGCAGCAGCCGGTCGTGCTGCTAGCGTTGTATAGCGTCTGGATTTAATGGTATCTACTTCGGCCCATATTTACTCTCGACTGCTATTGCCGCCGCGATACGTACGTACATACGCGATACGTCTGCCGCCCGTTGCGCTACGTACGTCTAATGGTACTGCCTTTAACGGTATTCGCGCGCGCGCGCGCGCGCGCGAACGCGGACGCGGTAAATTCACTCGAGCACTACTCGACATATCTACGGGAGAGAACAAAAATACACTCCACGGCGGGAACGGACGCGCCCGCCGTGCTGCGAATTCCCAACAAAAATAAACGTTACCGGCGGGGAAAGCAGCCCCGCGCGCGGCGAACCCCCCGGCGTCGCACCATGCTTCGCGTAACAAAGCTCTGGATTTCGGAAGCGAGGATACCGAAACTTCTTACACGCGGCTTCGATTTAGAACGTTTTTGCAGCGGCGGAATAGTACCTATTCGAGATCGTTCTTCACAATCCGCTGGCAATTGCTCGCTAAATTATCGCTGTGCGTTTTTTTTTTTTGTAAATCGTTGCTATCAACATAATTCACTTAGAATTAACTAGAGTTTAACTATTTTCTATTTTCTTCGATAGAATTGGAAATTTAATTAGCAAAAAAACGTTATTTATACGATTAATTTCTTAAAGTTTTTCGAACTTAAAGAATAATGAATGAATTTAAATATATTCAGAACTCAAATAACTGCCTCATTGTTCAGATATAAAATACAATTCATTGAGAAATAAATTTCCGTACTAAAATTTAAAAAAAAAAATCTGAAATTTTAAGAAATTCCTAACAAAAGATGGAAGTAAGATTGCATGAATTTTATGAGAATATAAATAAATGTAGAAATGCAGACGTGCATTGTAAAATCGTAAGTGTGTGAAATAACTTATTTCGGTGCCAGAAAATAGAGTGTACAAATGTCGGGCGGTTTATTTGTTATAAACTGTGCGTGATCGGCTCGGCATTTTTTCGACCCTTCGTTCTGAAGTTTTGGGACTTGTGGGAAAGAACAAATGTCGTACCATCCCGCGTAGCGTGGAGCACGAAAGTTTTTCCCCGAAATAAAGCGAGGAGATGATACAGGCTTACGGGTATTATTGTATCGGCACGCGCTTAATTTTCTGCAGCTTTAGCAATAAAAAACTCGATCGATCTTACGTTATTTATAATAGATATGTCGGACGAAGACGATTCATAAAAATACACAAAATTCTTTTCTATTTTTTTCAGTTTTGTTGAATAATTTCTCTCTTTTTAATGCTTAACTTATTCTACTTTTTATTAATTCATACTCTCCTCTTTTTCAAAAGCTCGTCTCACGCCAATCGTTGATTCTTTACTTTTGCAAACGCTATTTCTCGCTGCCGAGCTGAAAAGTATCGTCTCCGTTCGTCAACGATGATCTTTAGTGTAACGACTTCTAATCAAGTTATTATTATGCTATTTAATATATATTTATATATATGAATAGCATATATAAAGTATATTTATACATATTTACTCCGATCTCTCTGTAAAACGCGTCGGAACTGCGGAACATGTTGAGACGCGACGTGATAAGATTTTCGCATTTCGCGCGGAGAGAACATTTACTGCTATCTGGAATCGCACAGATAAACCCCGGAGACGCAATAGAGTCGCAATCGTAAGTCAAACGACCGCGGCAGTATTGCGCGCGCGGATTGCGCTTAAGTTTCGACAGTTTTACCGGCGCAGGGATTTCACAGCGAGACACGACGCGACGCATCGCGAAAAGCTGTGCGGTTTAAAGGAAAATAGAATGCGCCGCATTTTTACCGAGGGTTAACTCCTCCTCTTCCCCTCTTCCGGTGACTTTATCACATCGACTTTTATTGCCTCCTTTTATTCGAAGTTATTCGACTTTACACTCTTATAAAGAGCGATACGTTCTGCTCGCCGTTTGCGGGGAGAATAAACGTTTCCCAACAATTGCAAAATATTTATCCGTTGACGAAATAACGTGAAAATTTGACGTCTGGTTATAAAATCGAGTAAAGATTTGACGTTAGAAATTCAATGTTATAAAATCGTGTTGTGTCTTCTAGATATTGTTCTTTTCAGGACGTTGATAAAGACGTTTCTCAAGAAATTTCTGAGAAAAATTTCTGAGAAACTTACTGTACTATAAAGAATAACAAAAACGTACGCAATAAATTTATTATAAGCTTATTTAGATTATACTTTACAATTTTTTAAGAATAACAATAATAAATTTATTTAAAAATAATACAGTATCCCACTATTTATTATAAAAATTTTCTATTTAAAGGACACTTCATTGTTATCGCATCACTATTATTAAAATACTATTCTCATAAAATTAGAATTAATGCATTTGATCACAGGTCAGCAAGTTTCAAAAAATCGCGCATGAACTTTGTACTTTCTTCTCGGAGAGAACAACTGGCGAGTTTCCGCGACGCGAAAGAAAAATACCCGATGCTTAACTGCGTTATCCGACGTGCGACCCGCGGAATACCTTTCCACTTTCAACTTTACTTCATCCTGATTCTTCGACAAGTACCTGCAAGTTGCACCTTAGGGATCTTCGGCGATCTCTCGTGAAGCTTGTTATAGTATAGTATAATTCCATTTATCCGAGAGAAATCCGCGCTCAGTAGCAGATATATTGAACACTTTTGTTAAATTATTGTTATCTTGAGAGTTACAGAGTATCAGATAAACGTATATAAGTACATTACGTATGTATTTAGAAAATTACGACATATTACGATTATGACATACTTACTGTCAAATGTTGCGCTTATTCTTTTGTGTTTGTATTCATTTGCACAAAACAAATAAATATCTTCAAACTCATTTTCTAAACGTTAGCTTCAATTATTAAAACTACCTCAATAATATGTATGATACATTCAGATAAGTAGTTTTACTTTGCATCCTGTTTTATTTAAAATTTTGACAGAATTTTCGAAATATACTGTTCGACTTGTAAAACACTCGAATTCCATTAACATCGTCATAACTCGCGTTACGAACGTTCTTTAAGATGTAAACGCCGTTTATATCCCGTCGCTGTTTATTTACGGCTGTCATCGGATTATCGGAGAAAGTGGCGTGCGCGGGCGAAATCCGCTCCGTCTCAAGAAACGCTAATAAAACGTGCTCGACCGGGTCGCAAAAGTGTCCCAGCCGCCTTTTCAATTTCAAGTGGAAAATTGAAATCTTTCCTCGACACGCTCCTTCGCGAGAGTAACGGCGCTAATTCGGATAAAAGTCCGCGCCGCGAGCAGCTTCGACTACTTTCTTATTAAACGCATTGAAGCAGAAATCAAGGATATAGGATTCTACTTTTATTAGATAATATTCTCGCAGCTTTATCTTCGTTCAATTTAATTATTTACTTTATTA